ATCTCGATCAAAGTCGAAGACTAAATCTAGTTCATCATCATCACGGAAAGAGAAGAGCAGCAGCAGTAGCAGCAGTAAGAGTAAAGATAAAGATAAGGACAAAGAGAAAACCAAGGATAAAGACAAAGAGAAGAAAGAGGAGAAAAAATTGGAAACCATCAAAGTGGAGGACAAGGGCATAGGCAAAGAAGAGGAGAGCAAGAAGGAAGATTTAAAACCTGAGGAAACAAAGGAAAAGGAAAAAGAAAAGGAGTCAGAGAAGAAAAAAGAGGTCAGTTTCTGCTTCCTGGGTAGTTTAAACAAATGATAAGTACTGGTAGTTATGTTCCTTGTGCCCATATAGAATAAGAAAGGCAGACACATACTCTCCCTTCTGCTGCTGTGGTTCTGCCAGTGGTTAGCTACCCATGAATTTGAGAAGGGGTCACCAAAATAAAAAAAAAATTCTCCATACAGTATGTATATATATATACTGTATATATATATTTATTGTATTGGTGTCTTAAAAAGACTATGGTAGTTCAGCTAAAACAATGTTTACAGATGAAACTAATAATGCTCTTATCCCTTTAGGTCAGTAAGTCTCGTCGTTCTCGGTCTCGTAGTCGCTCCCGTGACCGTAAGAATCACCGAACGCGGTCTCGGTCTCGTAGCAAGAAACCGTCACGATCACGTTCTCGCTCACGAAGTCGCACAAAATCAAAGAGATCACACAGGTCAACAAGATCCAGGTAAGATTGCAAGAGCTGTTCATAGAGAAAACTTTAGCAGATGATCATTTGGTGAAACAGGTTGATGATATGTAGTAAAGGTGAAGATACTGGTGACAGAGTTAGATAATTTAGACTTGACAGATTTTTGTCAGTAAAGAAGTCATTTAAGTTTATGATTCTGCAAGTTGATGCTGCCCAAAGGGTGAATGAAGATAAAGTGCTGGAGAGGCTCGTTTATTTAATGGTGATTATGTAAATGAAGATGCAACTCTAACTTTGGGATTCTTCCTGCTGCACATAATGAATTTTAAGCATACAGTATTAGGTAGCAAATGTTGTACGAAGACAAATTGTTCTTTCTTCTCAGTATGTACGGTACGTATATAGAAATTCAGTTGAAATGTCACTGACTTTCAGGACACATCCACTTTGTTGAGTTTACACACCCATGCCATCCATGGTACAGGGGGAGGTAAAACTCCTATTTGTGACCACTTATGATAAATTTTTAATATCGCGTGGTTTTCTAATTTATATTACCACTTTTGTCTCTTTGTCTTAATATAAGACTGGATCAGGCTTATACAGTACAGTACTTTGCTTGTAGCTACTGTATACCAAATTTGTGTCATGGCCTGTATGCAAAGAATTTCTAAGTGGTAATTATATATTCAATTTTTAAATTTATTTTTGTCTTACAGGTCACGTTCACGACGCAGATCTCGTAGCAAGTCACGATCCCACAGGGACCGCTCCAGAGACCATCACGGCCGCTCACATGAACGATCCAGACGACGGTCAAGGTCTTCTTCAAGATCAAAGTAAGTCAATGACTGGAGTGAAAGAACCTTAGTTTTAATATACTACCGGTTTATTATTTTGACTTTACTGTACTGTACAGTGTTTTTAACAGCATACTATTTACCACATTCCTCAGTTGTGTAATGTGAAAGTATTTTCTTAGTATGTGTATGGAAAAAAATATAAATTAGTGAATTGTTTTAATATTCCAAATAAATAAAGTGGTATGGCATACGTGACACATTATTTATCAGGTTAAGTTTCCACAAAATTCTTTAAACATGCTTTTATTGCTAAACACTATAATTTGTTATAGTTCAGGGCTGAGTTGAATAATTAAATCCATATACTGTTCATTACGGTAATCAAGTTTTTATTGGTAAACACACCTGTCATAGGCTTGATGTCTTAACATTGACATTGCAGTATGAAGTATACCGTATATACTCATGTATAGTTCGAGTTTTTAAGACCAAATTTTTAGGAAAAAAATTGGGGGTCGTCCTATACATGCGTAATAGTTTTGTTAGGTTGAACCCATGCATGATGGGAAGGGCGAGGAGCAACTTTTAGCTTCAGACATGAAAAATATTTACCATTTACTGCCAGTAAACAATGGAAACGTAAAATATGTACCAATTAGTAATGAAAAGTTGTGCAGTTCCTTCAGCAAATGAAGCTCACCAACTTGCAATAGGCTAAATTACCTTACAACGTGCTTTCAGTAGTCTATGTTGAAGTTCTTAGCACAGGCTAACTTATCATATCATATACGGTATCACAGTTCTCATTGATCTACCAAAAATACCGGTAATAAAAACCTTTTCGATATTTCACACTTAATATAATACCCGGTAATCTACTTCAACCTCCTATTGTTTACAATGACGCATGACGCACCACCAGCTGTTGTGTATCAGCTAGACGGTACACGTGTTTTTTGAATCGTTTTCAGTTAAAAAAACTTACATCACATGTATATTTTACCTTAACTGCGCCTGAATGAATATATTCTCGGAAATAAATAGTAGTTTTGCTGAAACGTGATGTATTTTAATGTAAAATAGGATAAAGTACATGACGAAAACAAAAGATTTTACCTAACCTTCCGATGTTCAAGAGAAGTTACTGGTTTTTTTTAATAGGTTTTGGTTAAAATATTGTTATATTACAATGGTACAGTATTCTATTCATACTGTGCTTGATATAATGCTTTCACGGAAATGTAATATTTTTGCTGAAATGGCGTACGTATTACAGTGGAAAGTGGGATAAAATCGTGATGAAAACAATAACTTTCGCTTTCTTTCGTTCAAAAGATGTTACCGTAATCGCTTTTCGAATAGTTTAGTTAAAAAACTGTTTTATTACAATAATATTCCCTCCTAATTGACTTGAATAAATACTTGAATGGAAATATACAATATTTTTGTTGAAACTACCCGCGTTTCAGTGTAAAGTGTCGTAATAATAAATGGTAAACAATTTGCCTTTGGCACTCGTGTTTCAGGCACGGCGAGCCTCAGTTTATAGCACGTAGAGCATTTTTACTGATGGTTTTGTTGTTCCATTACCCTCAAAAACGTGGGTCGAACTATAAACGAGGAATATCATAAATTAACAATTTCTTGGTCAAAAAATCAGGGTCGACCTATAAACGAGGGGGGTTATAGACGAGTATATACTGTAACTTCTTTCAATAAGAGCAAATTCTATTTGTTGCTTCTTAGTATGCAGTATCAAGAAATTACATATAAGCTATCCAGAGAACACTGTAATAACTACTGTACCCACCATTTTGCTAATACACTGCTACCATATTAGTGTAAGGACACACAAACAGTTATTAGTGTGATCTGATAATCTGTATACCAGTATATAAGATACATACTGTCTCTATGTTACTTATGCATATCCACAAATTTGAGGATAACTGAAATTTGGTAGGGGGAGTGGGTGACCTAGGGGATTGGCTGTATACCCCTAATTGATTTTAGAAAAGACCATTTTCTGAAAATGAGGAAAGTGCACACCAGAGGTAAATTAACAGTCTACATTTAAAACTTACCTCACACACCTTCGCACATAAACAATCAAACACTCACACACTCAAACATGAAAAATATACTGTACTTGTAAACATATATGCCTAATAAACTCAAAGTGTTTGTTATTGATGTTTATTTGATATTATGCCCCTGTTTCTTTATCTCTCTTATGTTCTATATGTATTGAGTAAAACAAGTGTTAAAATCTGACGGCCGTGACCACCGCGATGCCCATATCCCCCCTATTTACATTATTTCTTATGGGAGAAATTGCTCCGCTATTCGCAATTTCGATACTCACAACGGGTTTCATGCCCGTAACCTTTGTGATAAGTGAGGCAGCCCTGTATATATACACAGCTGCTCCTCGACTTACGACTGGGTTAGAGACCCAATTCCAGGTCGAAAGTCGAAATGGTCGTAAGTGTGTTGACCATGTTACCTTCCATTGTAAGAAAACATTTCATAAATTTATCATGTACAATATTTTTTTATTTATGTTACTGTTGTGTGGTAGAATTTAGCCAGTAATTGGATCTGAGGCAGTTTTCTTTGTTTTCCACAGGCCGGGGAAAGCCAAAGACAAGGAATCTAGCAAAAAGTGAGTTCTAATCATATTTATAAGAGAAAGTCCTAATGCAAACCCTGTTAGATATACACAGCTTATGATTTTTTTAGTGGAAAAACTCATTCAGGAAATCATATTACATATTTTTTTACTTCACCTTCATATGCAGTATACTGTATATATGAACGGTTAAGACCTCACAAAAAAAATATTTGTCTTTACAATATTAAAAAGTGCATGAGGTTTTTTTATTTGCATCATAAACAGTTGATAAATTTGTGTATGTGTTAACAGTTTATGGCCTTCTTTTGGGGCATTTATTAATTTAATTATAATTTTTTTTATCTCTTGGCTGTACTGACAGTTTGTCATATTGACAGTTAAGGATGTGCTAGGCAGTATGTTAAGCACTTCTTATTAAAGCTTAAGAGGCTGGGTTTATTAATTAATGCAGTGAACTTTCTTATTAAAATATTTTCTAATTAAGGAGTTACATCTGGAATGGCTACTTTTGGAGGGAATAGTTCTGGAGAAGATGGACTTTGGGGGAGACATCATTATGGAGAGAAGGTTGTTCTGGCTGGGTTACTGTCCTTAGGGGACATTGTTTTTGCAGGTGTACTGTTCTGCAGAAGACATTGATCTTAGGGTTCATTATTCTTGTAGTGACACTGCTGCAAACATTCTTGTAGAGTGGACATTGCTGTAGACTGGAAATTTTAGGAGACATTGTTCTAAAATGAACACTTCTGGAAGGGTTACCTTATTTTAGAAGGGATGTTGTTCTGGAAGGGACTTCAGGTAACACTACCCTGGAGAGGACATTGTTCAGCAGAGTTGTCTGGAAGGAACATTGTGTTGAAGGGGGACACTTCTAGAAAAGAAACCATACACAGGACAGTTATCTGGACTGGACATCCTTCTGGAGGGACCACCAGGAGTTGCAAACTTCTTGTTTTTCCCATATTGTCCTTTAATTTTATATGATCCTATAAATGTCCTTTTTAAAACAGTTATCTTTCCTTTAAAAAATAGTTGTCAAACTTTTTCACCTTTTCCCTCAAAAGCGATGGGAAGAAACATATTTTGAGTGCCACAGCATTTTATAACCCTATCTACTTGACCTTTAAGATGGTAGACTAAATGTACACTTGAATAATATAGTACTGTTAACTCTACTGCTGCTAGTATAGTAGCAGCAAGGATATTGTTGGTGCTACTGTCTGTGTGTCCTCACTATAACTCAATAAACATTGAACATATTCAACTGAAATTTGATTGGTATATGAATCTAATGACGAGGAATAATTTTATGTTTACACTGCACGATAAACCCTCGTAAGTCCAGATTTCAGATAGTCTGGACCTTTTCTGGGCAAGAAACATTTGTCCAAACCTTTTGTGTGAAATTACTGCCGCACGCGATCATTTGAAATTGCCACCAGCGAGCAACCCTTTGGCTTCTTACCTCCTATCGGACCCATGAGTGAGCAGTTTATTTCCCCACTCTTAGAATGGCCTTGAAGTTCAACACACATTCAGCCACAGAAAAATGGTAAGAGTTTATGTAAAATAATTCAAACAATGGTGATGTTAATCTTCCTGGGAAAAGCAGAAGATGAGCACCTATTGCATCATCCATATGTCACACGCACACCTGGCGTATTTCATATGTCTTAATCATTTTGAAGTCAAATTACGAATTATATATCATATTTTTCCATTATTAATATTTTATATTACAGGCAACCCCTGCGTCACGGAAACACGGGTAAGGAAATTCATCCTTACGGAATTATGACCAAAAAAATGAAAATTGGCCAAAAAATTTGCACTTACAGAATTTGGGTAATTTTTTTTAAATTTTCAAACAAAAAAATTGTGATATTCTATACTTTATAAAAAGAGAGGTTCACCGAAAAATTTATTTCATGGGGATTCTGGGTAATTGCTCCAAGATGGTTGAAGGGAGGTTCGCCTACCCACCGCCACAACAATGGCACTGCTCAGTTAAAATTCTTTCCCCAGCTTGTGTTCAGTTATGCGTCTGTTCAGGACTGTATTCGCCCTTATGTAAGTCTGGTTAATTTTTTAAGTTTTTCGAAAGAATTTCATGGAGGGAGAGAGGCTTAAATACACAGGGTGACCTTCAGTTGCCTCTGAAGATGTCTTGAATAGAGACGAAAGCTAAGGTGCTCCATTGTTTCCCTTTTCCCCGTGTGATTTTTATCAAGATTGATCTTATCCACGTTTTCATTGTGGATCTACATGAAATATATATATATATATATATATATATATATATATATATATATATATATATATATATATATATATATATATATATATATATATATATATATATATATATATGTATATATATATATATATATATATATATATA